CCAGCCGCTCCTTGGAAACCCTATGGGGCAGTTCTACTCTGTCCTACGGGGTAGTCCTACTCTGTACTGCAGGGTCACTATGAGTCAGGGTTGACTTGACAGCGTCAGGGTTGACTTGGTTTCGGTTCCGGGTCGACAGGCACACGAGGACCCCAGCGGCCCACCCTGATCGTGCGGCGTGCCCACAGCAGAACCGCACAGCAGTCAAGGCACTGCAGTGACCAGACTGCCCGTTCACAGGACGTGGAAACAGAGTTTTCAGAGGATCCTCAGCGTGCTGAGCAGTGCTTTGTGGCCAGCACTTGGGGAGACGCTTAGGGTTTAATGGGGAGTTCTACGGACACGAAGTTTGCAGTCTAGTGGACGGGGCACACTGAAAACTGTCCCTGAAATGGTAAGTGCTGTGGACACTACTCAGGTACCTCCTTGAGGACACCCTGCTCAGTACAGAATCTTAGCTCAGGTACGATCCTCTCACCTCTGGGCTCCTGCAGCATCCTGCTATCAGCTTTGCTCCAACGAGATGGACTTTCCAGCTATGACCAGACTGATTTTTCTAAATCTCACAGATCTCAACAAACCCTCCCGTCCTGCGGCTCCCTCCTGGCCAAACCTTCCAGCGTCTTGTCTCTCATGACATGGCCCTGGCTGACCTCTTCAGCCCCGTCCTTCACCGCTTACCTCCCTCCCGGCTCCCTTCTGCTTACGCGCTGGCTTCTGTACTCCCTCAGGGCTCAAAAGACACTTTCTACATGACAACAGTATACGGCCAGGACTGTTGTTTTTTTTAAATAGCTTTATAACCATAGATGCATAAGCCTAAATGTTTATTGTTTTATTCCATTTGCTATTTTAAACAGATTCTAAGAGTTAATGAAATACTAACTACTGAAAATACTTGGAACAAACAAGCTGCCGTGGGCTGGGAGGACATGTGGTGACAAGAAGCACACGCAGAGTCAGGCGGCCTGGCTCCATGAGGGGTCTGCCACCCCCACACTGCATGAGACACCTAGATGCCCGCTTCACTGTGCCCAGGAGCACCAGGCAGACATCAGTGAGGACTCCAGCAGGCGTTTCTACAAGGCTGCTGAGAGCCTCAGGCCCTCCTGAGGAATGGGGGATCAGTGAGAGCTCCGGGTGTGCAGGACACAATCACTCATCATATGGGGTCCTAGAATTCCCACTGGGACCTGCTTTTAAAAATAGTATTCCTTCTAGAACTTACTTTCTAGAGTAGTCACCCCAAACTTTTGCATGTTCTCAATTTCTGGGTTCACCCTTTTGGGTCACAGAGAGGAACTCGGCTTGTCTGGGCCCATCTGACAGGTTGAAAATCACCACTTTTCAGTGAAGGGCCAACTTTTCACTTCAGTGGGAGAGAAAACCTAAATATGCAACTTTCTATATAATTAATAAAATTTAATAGAGTTCAGAATATATTTAGATCTAAGGAAGGAGAACAGATAAATCAGGTAAATATTTTCAGCTTATTAGGACGGAAGTGAAACCCAGTATT